CCAAGAAGCGTAATCACAATTATCGAGGTCTAGGGTGATGGGAATGAAGTTTTTGATGTTCGATATGGCCACAGCTGGATGAAAAGATGTTTTGGAGGAAGCCATGAAAGAAGATGTGGAAGAAATATGGCGTCTGATACCAAGTTAAAGTTTGGTGAATTCACTAAACTTTTTCTTTAATTATTTATCCCTTATTTATTTATGCACATCACCAAACATTTTATCCCTTATTTATTTATTTTTTCTTTGCATTCAATTTTTTTTTTGGAAGTTCAAACTTCTTCTACTTTTGTTCATGAAGCCCATTCTGATGAGCGTTTGTGTGTTGAAACAATATCAGTTAAGGAAGCTGAAATTTCTGAACTATTGGGTAAAATAGTTTTTTCTAAAAAAGAGGCATTTGAGCTATACAATGACTACACTTATAGAATTGGATTTGGTGTTCGTTATTCTACTTTGAGAAAGAGAGGTGGTGGTTCTGGCTTTAGGGGAAGGGAATTTTGTTGTACTAAACAAGGTTTAAAAAGGAACAAAGGTGTTGTTGGTAAACAATATACAAAAGTTGATAGGCGAACTGGTTGTAAGGCAAAAATATATTTTGAGATAAAACCTACTGGTGAGTTTGTTGTAGTTAGGCATGATATGGTTCATAATCACAATTTTTTCCCGAGCTCTTTAGTTCATCATGTTAGGTCTCATCGTGCTGTTTCGTCAAGTGAGTTAGAATATTTGCAACATTTGAAAAATAAAGGAGTTAAAGTAGCAGATGGTTTTCGTTGCTTACAAGCAGAAGCTGGTGGATCTCCTGCGGTTGGTTTTCTTTTGCGTGACGCTTATAATGAGTTGACAAAAAAAATAAAAAAATCTTTTGATGGTTGTGATGCAAACACATTGATTACTACTTTTAAAAACAGATAAGCAAATGAAGACGATTTTTTCTTTTCTTTTGAGGTTGATATGGATGGTAGTTTGGTTAGTTTTTTTTTGGAGAGACAAGAAAATGAAGGAAGATTATCTTGCGTTTGGTGAATTGCTTACCCATGATACGACTTACCGCACCAACAAGTATGACATGATTTGTGGACCGTTTGTTGGTGTTAACTCTCACACTCATGATTGCATGTTTGGTTGTTGATTTTTGTTAAATGAGAGGATTGAATCGTTTGAATGGCTTTTCAATACTTTTTTGCAATCTATGGGTTCTGTCCATCCAAGAACTGTTATGACAAATCAATCTACTGCCATGGCTGCTGCAATTTCTACAGTTTTCCCTCTCTCCAAACATCGTCTTTGTATATGGCATATCATTGAAAACTCTAAGAAACATATACGCGATTTAAGGAATCAAGAGGGATTCTTGGATTTGTTTGATCATGTTTTGAAACTTTGTCACACTGTTGCTGAATTTGATTATTACTGGAATAGGTATGTTTCATTGTGAATATATTTTTTCCCACATTTACTGTTTTTATGAGTATTGTTTAAAACATTAATGAGTAACAAGTTGTGTGAAATGATTATTTGTTTTTCTTTGCAGAATGATATCTGAATATAATTGCTCAGATAATCCTTGGTTAACCAAACTGTATGAGATGAGGGACAAATGGTGTCCAGCTTTTTCAAAAGAATTCTTCTCTGGTGGCATTTTATCTTCACAACGAAGTGAGACCACAAATCACTCTTTGTCTAGAAAACTGAATGCTACCTCTTCTCTATGCGACTTCTATCATTTTTTAGTGAAGCTATCAGTCATTGGAGAAGTAATGAGGGCAAAGATCATCCGCGTTGTTTGGATGATTTTCCTGAAATTGCTATTCCTCATCTTAGTTTGTTACATAAAGCTTCCAAGCTTTATACGATTGATGCTTATAATCTTTTTGAGAAAGAATTCATGCGAGGTATGTCTCTGAAATTTGAACTTAGATTCCATCAAGGTTCTTTAATGGGATATTTAGTATGGATGCCTCAAACAGATCGGTTTTCACATTGGGTTTCATTTGATGTAACAACACATTTTGTTAGTTGTTCTTGTCAGAAATTCCCAGAGGCTGGTATTTTGTGTTGTCATATTCTTCGTATATATCATATACACTGTGTAGAAGTTATTCCGGATTGTTATATTCTCAAACGATGGACTCGTACGGCAAAGTCTCTTTCAAGTGAACTACCTTTTGTGTTAGATGATTCTTCTAATGTGTTACCTTCAGTTTGGAGAATGCAAATGCAAAAGAAATTTCACAAGCTTTTGTGTTCTAGTGATTCTAATTCTATAGCAAGGCAATTGTGTGAAGAATCTTTTAAAAAGTTGAAACTGGATGTTGAAGATCAAGTTGGAAGCATTTATTTCTCTGATAGTGATTCTACCTCAGTGTGTGTGACTTCAAGAATATCTAATCCAAAGAGTTCAAGGAAAAAGGGTGAAAGAAATGTGTGTCGCAAGAGTGTTATTGAAGTGAAAACAAATCAAGCTAGAGCAAGGAAAAAGTCACGTCAAGCTAGTACATCAACACCTGAGAACACAAATTTGTAGTTAGATTTTCTAATATCAATGTATTCACACTGCTATTGTTCACTCATTTGCTATTGTTAGACTTATTTATGTTATTAAATTACTCAGTGACTTTGTTTGGATGCTCAAACTAAAACCTATTGTTGATCATTTGTATATACAAATCTCAATACTACGTAATTGCTGACTAGTATGTTTGGAATAAACACTTTTTGGGTTACTACCTTGGATATTGGAACATCTAAGTAGTTATTATGTTGCTATTCTTTTGTTTATTACCTTTTTTTGTTGCTCATATTTATTTTGGTTATAGTTTATACAATAAACATATTTACCTTGAATATTCTTGTCCATACAATAATCATTTAGTTAAATATTATGAGTTTGGTTACCTATGTTAATGATCATTTATATGTTATTCTTTGTATTCATTCGACATGAATACACTCCTTTCAAAAATTATCATGAATACTAATTCAAATGACCATTCCATTAATAAAATCATCTTTTGATTAATCCACTGATTTTTAATAATCTATACTCATGTTTATGATTTATTTAATATTCATCTTAGACTATTACCTTCATTATTAATTGCAAAAGATTGGACATTAAGTATTTTACAACGCTCATTTCCACTATATACAATACTCATTTAAAAAACATCTATTGTTTAGTTTTATACTTACCAGCTGATTTGGTTGCAAAAAAGATACTTAGTTCCTACTTATCAAGTATATTAGCGTATAACATGAACATATACGGTAATAGTAATGATCATCAATATAAACGCAATGTCTAACTGCCATTTTTCAATATTACATACTTTATAAATGTCAAGCACTTACTAATATAGTAAAATATAGTAGTGAATTAAATTAGAGACAACCGTGCTCAATCTAAAGGTATTAAATTAAAATACCTACCTTCTGAAAATGAAATTGTTGATCTTTCAAAGTGTGTGTTACCTTCTATGGTCTCGTTGTGGGGTTTTTGCCTTGTTGGATGCTTCACAGGTATATTCCCGGGGCTTAAAGCGATTTATGAGCTTATGAATAGCTGGGTGTGCAATGTACTTTGCAATCCCATAAAAAGGGATGGGTGGTTTTTAAATTTAAAAATGAGCAGGATAGAACTAAGGTTTTTACCGAAGGACCTTACAATATCCTTGGTAGATTACTGTTTTTGAAAATACTATCTGAGGATTTCACTTTTGATGATGAGGCATTCCTTAAGGTGCCTATTTGGGTAAAGTTTCCCAATTTACCCTTGAATCTGTGGAATGAAGAGGCACTGAGCATGATTGCATCAAAGGTGGGTGTTCCTATCACTACAGACAAGGTCACACAAGATATGACAAACTACAATTTTGCGAGAGTGTTGATTGAAGTGGATATTACCTTGGCACCATGCCTCTCTTTGCCTATCCGGTTACCATCGGGAAAGACTTTTAAACAAGTTGTTGTTTACGAAACCTTTCCTATTTTCTGCTTTCATTGCAAATCTTATGATCATCACTCATTTATTTGTAATGAATTGGGATGGAATAAGAAAGAAAAAGCGAGGATTTCAGATGATGTGAAGAAGGGGTTAAACGGTAAGGTGATTGCTCTTACTAACTATGGGGGCAGGGATGAGGGAAAGCTTAAACTGGATGTTGCATGTGAAAAAGTTGATGAGGTTGTTGCTACATCTGATCTGGCAGAATCTGCCCTGGGATTGACCCGACCGAGCTCCCCCCTCACCCGACCGGGTCACAGGTAATAACCCCAAACCCGCCCGGGTCTTCCCAAAACCCGCCCGGGTTTCAGCGGCAGACTGCTCCTGCTGCGTCTGCAGTTTCTTCTGGAGGTTTTGTTACTGCTGTGGTGGCTGTTCCTGACCCTACCGGGTCCTCTGACCAGATTGCAGCCATGGGTAGGTGTGTGAGTATAGAAAGTGGGCTGAAAAAAGATGATGTGGTTATTAAGTGTGAGATCATTGATGCTAAGAAGTTCAAGTTGTTTGTTAAACCTTTCAAACACGTCCAAGCTAGTGTAACTAGAGTGGATAGGTTTCTTAGACTTACGGACGACTTGGATAAGAGGGGGCTAACGTTCACTGATCATTGTATGGAGAGTTTGCCGGGATTTACTATGAAGAAAGGGGAGGTTTGCTTTGCTGCAAAGTTTACTAATCCTTTCCATGTTTTCTTTGGATGTTAAACTAGGTTTTCCTCTCAGGGAACTAGTGTGTTGATTTTATGTTTCTCCTTTGATTCTGGGCTCATTTTGCTGTTTTCTTTGAAATTTTAGTTTCTTGATGTTGTGGTATTCCTTTTCGGGATATGCACTTTTCTGTAACATTGACTTGTTATTTCTTTTGGGTGTTAATATATACTTACATTTCATCCAAAAAAAAAAATATAGTAGTGAAACATGTCTAAAGATTCACATTCCAATCCACAAAATATGCTAAAGATTCACATTCCAATCCACAAAGTATGTTTCTTCCAACAACCAAATTATAGTAGGTGTTTTCGTCCTACATCACATTCTTTTGATTCACTATTTCCATCGCTTCCACCCTGACTTCATTGTTCTGAAATGTCAATATTTTATGCACATACTTGATCCTCAGAATCTGTATTGGCTATTCCTGCATTATAATATATGTTAGTTATAATATACCTTCATATTTTTCTCCTACTAATGAATGTTAGTACACTAATTTACATTAAATATTTTTTAAAGAAATGTGGCCTTTACATTTCCATTTTCGAGTCCACACTCCCAATCAGTATCTCCATGGAACGTTTCCATATGCCTCATCATGTACACTCTTTCATTTTCTTTGACATTGTTTCTTCATGCCATTCTTACAACTTCTGGCTGCATGTTTTTCACTTTCTCTGCATGTGGGTGCCTTACTTCTTTGAGCCACTTCAGTACAACACTCTTCTATACATATAAGTATTTAAACAGTTTGTGTATTTAGTATGTATAAAACATTTGAACACTAAAACTGTACGATTACTCATATAATATGTTCAAAATACTCATTCCAAAACCATACAATTCTCATTTGTAAACTTACGAGGTGGTTTGGTTGGGAACCATACTTCATTTTTATTGTTATTTCTCTGTCACAGCTATCAATGATGCTGAACTTTGTATTCTTCAAATCGATGTGCATTAAGTAATAACTTCCATTTTTTTCAGCCGGGAATAAAAACAAATCCATATTGTTCAGTTTTGGCAATGCTCCAGTAAATTGTTCCCGAGTGGCTTCAACAAACCTCTTCATCCTTGTTGTTGCAGTGCTGAGCTGGTTTTCCTCCAATACTTTCTGTATATCAATCATTTAAAATATTACTTATAAATCTATGAATAAAAATATATACAACAATAATTCTTACGCATGGTGATGCTGTGAATATCAATTTGTTTCTCGATTCCTTGCTCTTAAGAGTCTCTATGTGGTTTAGAATCATTGCCCATACGTCTATGACTTTTGGACTGACTTTGAAATTGATGTCCAGAGACTCCAATTCTCCCTTTGTAAGAACAATGATGTGATTTTTCTCGCACTTAAAAAGATTGTAGAAAAGCGGTGAAAGTACGAGTATCGTCTCCACAGGGACGGTAAAAGGGAATTAAGGACTAACTAAAATCAGCGATAAAGAATAAATAAAATAAATGCGGTCGTGCGAGATTTGATTGATTGAGAAAATTAAAATTGCAAATAAACGAATAAAAGTAAATATTTGGATTCTTCTTAATTAACGATGAAGGGAACAGGGATTGATTCTGGGGTGATCAGATTTTTGGCAGATCAGGCTTAATTACATGAATTTAATTTAATTAAGCCTAGCTAATCAATACTAAGTTCTTACCGCTCTCGCAGCGTAGAGCACAATAATTTAGGGGACCAGACTGATCTCTCATGCGACAGGATCCTAAATTATTGCCAAAACGAACGAACTTACGGCCCCTTAATCGCTACTAATCTCTTAGCGAACGATTAAGTGTGTGTAAATGTGTCCTAGAATAAATTAGATCTCTCTTAATTCATCCTACATGCGATTGTAATTCTAGTGGTCATCTAGGTTACAAAAGATATCAATTAAATTACTCAAACACAAATTAAACGGCATTCATGCAATTTACACCATCAAGAACCTAACCATACATCGTGATTAACTCCTTCATCAATCCCAAATCCCTAATTAAAACTACTCCCGACTCATAATTGAAGAATCAATAGAATTGGGAAGAATAGAAATAATTGCCATTAATTAAAAAGTAGGAACTTACAAAGAATCTCAAAGAATAGAAAAAACCAGGGCTAAAAGCTCTCAAATTCATCTTTCAGCTGCTAAATAAGTTCCATCCCCCTTAATTAGGGTTTTAGGGTGGTATTTAAAGGAAACAAGGCAATTTGAGCTGAATTAGGAAAGATTTTGGGTACGCACGGCACCACGCACGCGTGCGTGGCTGGCAGTAAGGTCTAGTTCGTTTTCTTCATTGGACGCACGCGTGCGTCCTTGCACACACGGCCATGCGTAGCCCTTTCTCTTCCAAATTCCTCGTTTTCTCCCGTTCAAGTCCCCGTTTGGCCCCGCGATCAATCGAACAGCTCTTTCTTCATCAAATCTTCATCGTGAATCTCCCGGTGCCCTTAAAAACTCTGAATTCATTCTCGAATACTCCTCAACTCATCCCGATCACTCCTTAATGTGCCGATACCGGGCTCTAAAACACCTGATTTCATATCTAAAAATGCCAAAACTCGTTCCAACACCCGACTAACATGATTTGAGCTAAACATGATACTTATGACGCCTTAAAGCGAGGAAAACCATCAAAATCCGACACCAACACGCATTAAAAGCGTGTTGAAATACGAACTTATCAGATTCCCCCAAACTTAAGCTTTTGCTTGTCCTTAAGCAAATCGAACAACGGGACTTACGATAATCACCGCACAGAATTAAAACAGTTAGCATGCACACGTAGCTAAAGGGATATTCACAGAACAGACATTCTAAGCTTTGAAAATCTTCCCTAAACTATATCTTTGTACTCAAGCTAAACTGTTTGACAAAATTATTCACAACATCCTTAAAGTAATGACAGCGTACACTAATAAACTAGCTAGTGATCAGGAGGACTTATGAAGGTGAAGGTGAATGGTAATAAACAGTCCATTTCTTTTGAGAGATTGGAATATTCTAACAAAGACTTAATGCATTCAGAAACTTCAGGGTTATTCTTAGGATCAAGGAACTCAGTAGGCCACGATTTAGGAACAATCATCTAAACCTATGCAAAGAGTAGACATGGTGTACAACTAAGCTAAACCGCCGCGGCACATTGGTGCTTTGACGTATACTTGAAGTACGCGGAGGGCTAAAGCTAATTTTGCTAAAGCCTCCAAGTTCATTAATTAAGTTTAGTTTTCCTTGTCATGTTGGCACGAGAACGCCATTTCTTTCGAAAGATACCCAAGTCTCATCTTATTGTGCGAACACTTACGCTTTTTGACCGGGGCTCCCATTCTCTTTTTCGCAAGGCAAGAGGTCTAGCTATATTAATTTTTCACCTTTCGGATTCTTACTAGACATTACCCCATTCTAATCTCGGCCTCACCAAGGAAAAATATCAATTAAAGTTCTTTTATTCAAAAGTGAATCCATGCCTACAATCCTCGAAAGTATCAAATTCCTAAACAGTGACTGCTCTTACCCCATTTGGGGCATAGGAACAGTGCCAAAAGTGGCTCCTACACAAATATCCCTAGACTTGGCAAATCAATACCCTAGTTCTCTAAACATCAAGACTAAGTCAGAAATATTCACGGTTAAGGAAACACAGGTCATTTGGCTATGGAGCTCTATTAATTGGGTAAACAAAAAAAAAACGGTCAGGCTCAAAGTGGCTTCTCCTAAAGGACTTATTTGGGTGGGATGGATGATTTAATTAATTCAATGGGTGCATAATGCCTTCATCCTCTCAACAACTAGTTCATCGTGCAGCAATTTAAGCCTAAACACTTCAGAGATGTCCTAAAAACAAGGTCAAAACGCTAGCTAACTCACAAAGACAAAGTTTAAAGAAAAATTTTCAAAAATTTGACATGACTTTTCTATGAATATACAACTAACACCTGCACATGCTAACTCTAAAAATCACATATAACAACTACTGCCCCCAGGCCCAATTCACTCCCCCACACTTAAACTTTGGCATCGCCCTCGATGGCCAAAAATGCATTATGCACAGGGGTAAAGGGAAAGGGTCACGCGTGCTCAAACTTAATTCAAGTCAAAATTAAAACGGGTGTATGGAAGCGAGTAAGGAACAGAGAAACTCCCCTAGGTCATTTAGCTGGTCCCAAGTCTGGAGGTGGTGGTGAGGATTACTGTCCAACCACGTCTGCGCATCGTCCCTCAATGAGAAAGGGAAAAGCATCATTCTCACATGATCATCAGTAAGCCAGGTATTTTGAAAGTCTGGCACATCCTCAGGAAACGGGTAATATGTGCCACTGGGTCTTCTGTAGGGCTTCCTCCAAATTGATTATTGGACACCATGCTTATCACCGCCGGCTTGATTTCGTAACGGTTGGCAGTAATTCCCTACACTTGAATGCTATCATACTCTGAAACGTTTGGTGTAAGGAACTCTGCAATGGTCTGACGCTGATAGAGTGGGTTATTGTGCGGTACATATGGATTGGGTGGAGGCGCCTGATGTCTAGGCTGGGGGCTGGTTGTGGCTGAGCAGGTGGGACTTGGGTTTGGTTTTGAAACTGATTGGGGTATGGATTTTGGTACTGGGTCTGATTTTGGAATGTAGGTTGATTGATTGGAAGTGGGTTCTGTCTCGGTTGGAAAATGGGAATACTCTGCCCTGCTCCTTGCATCCCATAAACTTGGTTCTGAAAATTGGTTTCAGGAGCAGTAGGGGTATTTTGAAAAAGGTGATATAATGGAGGGAGGTTAAATTGTGGTGAAGGCTGATTTTGGGAAAAGATCGGAGTGCGGTAATTTTGAAAACCTGGAGGGTTTCTAGGTGAAATTGGTGGTGAAGATTGGGGTGATGTGTTAGGATAGAAATCTGGCTGAGAAGTAGGGTTAGGATTACTAGATGACCCTATGTTTCCAGATTAAGATTGATGGTCCATGGTAATTTTCCCTTTGTGAGCCTTACGGTTCTGTCTGGCGAGCTTTTCAATCTCTAGATTAAGAGGGATTAATGGTTCTCCCCTCTTGGAGCATGTATGCATAAACAGATCTGACCTGCAAGGTTAGCAGACAAAAATCCCACGTAAAACTAAAAATGAATCGCTGAGTAAAATTAACCCTTAAGACCGACACCGTCCTCGGCAACGGCGCCAAAAACTGATGTGATTTTTCTCGCACTTAAAAAGATTGTAGAAAAGCGGTGAAAGTACGAGTATCATCTCCACAGGGACGGTAAAAGGGAATTAAGGAGTAACTAAAATCAGCGATAAAGAATAAATAAAATAAATGCGGTCGTGCGAGATTTGATTGATTGAGAAAATTAAAATTGCAAATAAACGAATAAAAGTAAATATTTGGGTTCTTCTTAATTAACGACGAAGGGACACATGGATTGATTCCGAGGTGATCAGATTTCTGGCAGATCAGGCTTAATTACATGAATTTAATTTAATTGAGCCTAGCTAATCAATACTAAGTTCTTACCGCTCTCGTGGCGTAGAGTACAATAATTTAGGGGACCAGGCTGATCTCTCATGAGACAGGATCCTAAATTATTGCCAAAGCGAACGAGCTTACGGCCCCTTAATCGCTACTAATCTCTTAGCGAACGATTAAGTGTGTGTGAACGTGTCCTAGAATAAATTAGATCTCTCTTAATTCATCCTACATGCGATTGTAATTCTAGTGGCCATCTAGGTTACAAAAGATATCAATTAAATTACTCAAACACAAATTAAACGGCATTCATGCAATTTACACCATCAAGAACATAATCATACATCGTGATTAACCCCTTCATCAATCCAAAATCCCTAATTAAAACTACTCCTGACTCATAATTGAAGAATCAATAGAATTGGGAAGAATAGAAATAATTGTCATTAATTAAAAAGTAGGAACTTACAAAGAATCACAAAGAATAGAAAAAACCAGGGCTAAAAGCTCTCAAATTCGTCCTTCAGCTGCTAAATAAGTTCCATCCCCCTTAATTAGGGTTTTAGGGTGGTATTTAAAGGAAACAGGACAATTTGAGCTGACTTAGGAAAGATTTTGGGTACGCACGGCACCACGCACGCGTGCGTGGCGTCCGTGCGTCCGACAGACATCCGCGTAAAAAGGGGGACGCACGCGTGCGTCCCTAGCCACGCACGCGTGCGTGGCTGGCAGTAAGGTCTAGTTCGTTTTCTTTATTGGACGCACGCGTGCGTCCTTTCACACACGGCCGTGCGTAGCCCTTTCTCTTCTGAATTCCCCGTTTTCTCCCGTTCAAGTCCCCGTTTGGCCCCGCGATCAATCGAACAACTCTTTCTTCATCAAATCTTCATCGTGAATCTCCCGGTGCCCTTCAAAACTCTGAATTCATTCTCGAATACTCCTCAACTCATCCTGATCACTCCTTAATGCACCGATACTGGGCCCTAAAAGACCTGATATCATATCTAAAAATGCCAAAACTCGTTCCAACACCCGACTAACATGATTTGAGCTAAACATGATACTTATGACGCCTTAAAGCGAGGAAAACCATCAAAATCCGACTCCAACACGCATTAAAAGCGTGTTGAAATACGAACTTATCAAACAACATTTCCATCTTTGTACAACACAATACTATTTCATTGAAAAAAAAGTGGTCAGCAAAGTTTCAACCAGTTATGCATTATTTAATATATATATATATATATATATAATATAGATATAATAATTGTTTTGATGAGTATTCAGTTACTTACTTTTTATCATTGTTGTTGTTAAACACAAATTCATCCACTTTTATCTCTTCAGTTATCATTGAGCCCTTGATTTCAATAATTCTACTAACATATGGAGACTTGTGAGGAGCTGTAGGGATTACTTGTCTTTTTTTAACTTGATTCTCCTGACAACAACCTTCATCATCAAGAGCAACCTGCTTTCCCTTTTCAGTTGATCTGTTTCTGGCTTCATCATCAACTTTTTGATCTTTGCTTTTTGTTTCAACATTCACTTCTTCACGCTCATTATGAAGTTCCACATGCTCATTACACTGTTCAGGTTGCTCATTACATTCTTGTGAAAGTACGGTGAAGCTTGGCTTTTCGTACTGTGTCAGTGTTAGCCTCTCATTTCTCTTCTTTTGTGCCATTTCAATGGCTTCTACTGCTCTCAGAACATCTTCTGTCCAGAAATCATCATCTGGTGTCGGTGTTATTTCTTTTGCTTTTTCAGTTGTTGGCTGTTCTTTGGAGTATGTGTTGAACAGTCCATGTACTTTGTCAAGCAGGACCTTCATTGTTTCATCATCTGGCAAAAGCCTGTGCAGCCTGCTGAAATTTCTCATCATAGATTGATATGCTTTCAGCCAACTGTTTAGCTGATGTGGCGAATTCCTTCATCACGTCCTGCTTTAATTACAACAATATGATGATTACAAACTAATTATGCTGTAACAGACACTCATTAGAATATTGCACTAGTAACACACTGATATTCAGTAGCACTATCATTTTATTATCTGTAACCACTCATCATTATTAAATATTTAACATCGTTTCATACCTTTGTTGGCTGCTGTGAACATTCAGCTTCAGATTGTGTTGCCTTGTTTGGATCATTTCCCATCACTTCTGGTATCTCCATTGTTCCCTTATTTGCCTCATCTGTGTAACCATATCCAAAGCCTCTGCTTTCCATCTCTTCTTTTTCTCTTTTATTCAAATTCTGTGTAGTCCATCCAATAAATGATGGTGCTTTCCTTGGTAGTCTCCTTCCTTTAAACACCAGTCTATCAACATAGAATATCTGCACATAGTGTTAATCTAGAATTGAGCATGAAACTTTCAAAACATTTACTAGTACACTCATTATATTTAGCATTAAGAGTTCATCAATTTTTAATACTTACAATCAGAAAGAGTAGAGATCCAGGGAAATGTCTTGTTTTGTCCTTATTCCAAAAGTCTTTTGCTTTGATGAGTGTGTGCAATGTATATCCACACCAGTCTAGATCTCTAACCGTTGACTCATCATCCAAAGCTTTCAGAATGCTTTGGTTCACATAGCAATTCAGTTACCTTCTATCAACAGTGTGACTAAGAGAACCAAAAAATTCTTCTTAAACATCCATCCTTCTTCTCTGCTCTCCTCTAAAGCTTTCTTCAATACGCCTGTTTTTACTTGCCCTCTCTCATTAGGGAACTGCTTTCTCCACTCAGCTACCATTTCATAAGTGAACTCAGCTTGTGTGTCAATTTTTTCTTGTATGTTTATTGCTCCTCTTGGGAATCCCAATGTGTAATGCACTGATTCTCTCGTGATGTGCACCTTCTCTTTATTTGGTAACATCAAAGACACGCTCCTGCTATCAAACTTATCTACAACCCAGTGCCCAAGACTTGAAGGCAGTTGCTTCACTTGAAGTAATAATAACGGCTCAAATCCCATCTCAATTACTTCTTTTTTCCGTTCATCACTCAGCTTTTCAACTACTTCTATGAAACTCTTTGGAGACATTCTTGTCAGGATTTTTGGAAACCCATCTTTAATCTGAGCATCCTCCTCCTCATCGTTTTTTTCTTTTTCCTTTTTCATTTTCTTGTTTTTCTCTGACTGTATAGACATGCTTCTAGTAACTCTCCTTTTCGTTTTTTCATTTCTTTTCCTTTTTTTCTCAAAAAGTTCTCTCTCTTTCCTTGTTTGCTCATCTTCCTCGATCTCCAGCACATGATCTTCTGTCTCTTGCTCATCATTATTCCTCTTGACTACATCTTCATTTTCCGTTTCTTTATCTTCCTTGTTCTCTTTCTCATTAGCTTCTGTGTCTTGTTCATCATTATTACTCTGGCCTTCATCTTTATTTCCCTCTTCTTCATCTTGCTCCCTCTCCTTTTCAACATATTCGGGCTCATCATTATTCATGTGAACATCTTCTTCATTCTGCTCGGGCACATCATCTTGAACAGTGTTCTCCAAAGACACCTTATTTCCTGAAGTCAGGTTTTTAGAACTTTTTTGGGGTTCTTCTTTGTGACCTTTTTTGGTTTTTTTGGTGCTTTCGCACGAAGCACTGGGACTTCAGTAAGAGGAACTTTCGTCACAGTATTTCTTTCATCCCTTCATCAATAATGAGTACTACTTAATACTGGTATGAGTAATACGCACAAGCAAATGAATATCACATTAGAAAATTTCAAACAACATTCACTTGTGCACATAGTAATTGTGCCTTTAGTATTATTTTCCAAGTACTTATTCCAATAAAAAATGAATACTGAGTACAATAGTTTGAGTATAATACATTAACCAAATATCACTTTTCGTCACAAGAAATGTGTTAGTAACATTAAAGATTGAGCACTCAGTAAAATATTATGAGTAGTATATACAGTTCAATTATTATGAAAAAATAACAAGTCAAATAATCTTCAGATATTTGTTGTTAATTTCCAACTACTCATGTCAAATAATACACAGGTTTGAGTATTAGAACTACAATGTTTCACTTCTATTATCTATTACAATACCTTAACCAAAATCCATTTTTCCTCACATTAAACCTTTGATTATTCTACTTGGAATCATGAACACTCAGTAAAATATTTTGAGTAGCATACACATTTCAATTATTATGACAAAATAATAAGTCAAAAAATCTTCATATGTTGTTGTTAATGTCCAACTATGTTTGTTAATAAAGTATTGAGTACTGTGTACACAAGTTTGAGTATTAGAACTACAAGGGTTCACTTCTATGTTCCATTACAATACCTTAACCAAAATGCACTTTTCCTCACATTAAACCTTTGATTATTCTACTTTGAATCATGAGCGGTTAGTAAAATATTATGAGTAGCATACACAGTTCAATTATTATGACAAAATAACAAGTCAAAAAATCTTCAGATGTTGTTGTTAATGTCCAACTAGCTTTGTTTATAAACTAATGAGTACTGTGTACTCAACTTTGAGTATTATAACTACAATGGTTTACTTCTATGTTCCATTACAATACCTTAACCAAAATCCACTTTTCCTCACATTAAACCTTTGATTATTCTACTTTGAAACATGAGCACCCAGTAAACTATTATGAGTAGCATATACAGTTCAATTATTATTACATAATAACAAGTTAAAAAATCTTCAGATGTTGTTGTTAGTGTCCAACTAGCTTTGTTTATAAAGTAATGAGTACCATACACAGGTCAATTATTATTACATAATAACAAGTCAAAAAATCTTCAGATGTTGTTGTTAATGTCCAACTAGCTTTGTTTATAAACTAATGAGTACTGTCTACAGAAGTTTGGGTATTAGAACTTCTATGGTTCACTTCTATGTTCCATTACAATACCTTAACCAAAATGCACTTTTTCTCACATTAAACCTTTGATTATTCTACTTTGAATCATGAGCACTCAGTAAAATATTATGAGTAGCATACACAGTTCAACTATTATTACATAATAACAAGTCAAAAAATCTTCAGATGTTGTTGTTAATGTCCAACTAGCTTTGTTTATAAACTAATGAGTATTGTGTACTCAAGTTTGAGTATTAAAACTCAATGGTTCACTTCTATGTTCCATTACAATACCTTAACCAAAATCCACTTTTCCTCACATTAAACCTTTGATTATTCTACTTTGAATCACGAGCACTCAGTAAAATATTATGAGTAGCATACACAGTTCAATTATTATTATATAATAACAAGTCAAAAAATCTTCAGATGTTGTTGTTACTGTCCAACTAGCTTTGTTTATAAAGTAATGAGTATTGTGTACAGAAGTTTGAGTATTAGAACTTCTATGGTTCACTTCTATGTTCCATTACAATACCTTAACCAAAATCCAATTTTCCTCACATTAAACCTTTGATTATTCTACTTTGAATCATGAGCACTCAGTAAAATATTATGAGTAGCATACACAGTTCAACTATTATTACATAATAACAAGTCAAAAAATCTTCAGATGTTGTTGTTAATGTCCAACTAGCTTTGTTTATAAAGTAATGAGTACTGTGTACAGAAGTTTGAGTATTAGAACTTCTATGGTTCACTTCTATGTTCCATTCCATTACTTGTATATAAGTACATCAAATCACATAATGATAGTATTATAACAACATTACTAATGTTAACAACATTACTAATGTTTTGTTTTACGTAATAAACAAATTTTAAGCTATATACGCAATAAATAATGAGAATACATAACTTATAAAGTGCAAACATTAATAATAACGAGTACTACACAACAAATAGTGAGCAATATAAACCATGTATTCGCGATTGATGCTAGTGTTTTCCAGAAATTTAAGGCACATGCAAGTCTATTAATATTTTAATTTAAGAACTACAAAATAAAATCAAAATGTATAGTACGGAGTGTTACATACTCTTTGGATGCTTCAGCACTTTCGTTATATTGATTTGAAATCATTTGATATTCTGATATGATGTCCATAGATACCTTGGCTCGTAGTACTCAAACCCTATCACTTCAAATCTCAAACTTCTTTCTCTGTTTTTGAACTTGCCGTTGTTTCCGATAATGGTGATATGCAGATTCCAGTTTTCGAAGTTGCTTTTGTTTCACTTCGGTTGAACATTAATGTCGAGTTGCAAACCTTTCTGGACTTTCGTCTAAGCTTTCAGGTAAGATTCGCAACATTTACGTATCTTGCAAACAGATTCCAGTTATTGAGAATGGTTTGAAATTATTGGTTTTAAATGATTTGATTTTACCGGGTAATTCAAAATTTGGGCTTTTGAACCATGGGCCTGCTGTACCGTGCTCACCTTACGGCCGGATGTATAATATACGAATGTGATCTAATCTAATTTGATGAGCTTAGTCGTATTCAGCCCCAACATGGCCGGGAGAATCGCTAAATTTGTGGGAAAGAAGACAAGTGGCGGGACAAATAATACCGATGCATATATACATATATACAAAAGAGCTTCCATCCGCAGCCCGTTGTCACCAAACCTCTTCTATTTATCATCACGAGAAAGCCGGGAGAACAACGTCGTCATCAGCGTCATCATCAATGCCGCTCTCTTCCTCCTCTCCTTTCCCTCTGTCCATACCCTTTTGGTGATCAGATATTGTATTTAATACCAGTACCAATATCACCTCCTCATCCTTCAGGATCATTCTTCAACCAATAGAGGTTCGGAGAAATAAGAAATACCAAAATCTGCTTTATCTGTTGATAATTCTCGGCGGATTTTGCATCAAAATCTGAGCGGGTCATTTGTGAGGTGCCTTCGTTCCAGGTGGCAGGCATCGCTTTCCCCCCGATTAACACAGGCGTTCATAGGACTTGAAGAATCATGGATAAGAAGAAGTATCCGATTGGAGCGGAGCATTATGAACTATTCGAGGAGATAGGGCAAGGAGTTAGCGCCTCCGTTCATCGTGCTCTCTGTATTCCCCTGGATGAGATCGTCGCTGTCAAAATCCTTGACTTTGAACGTGATAACTGTGATCTGGTAATTTATTTATTTGATATCAAGTACTACTCCGTATTATATAGGGGCAATTGTCATGGTGAAGTTACTGAAGTCAATATACGGAATGCTGTTGTTCTCTCTGCGCATATATCTTGACAACAGATTGTGGAATGGACGCGTGAATTTGAAACCATATTCTTCATACGGAGTATTTGCTTTTAAAAAAAGTCATTGCATTACAAAGTACTCAGTCTCCCAAATAGTTGGAACCTACAAAACAATGATTAAATCAGCTATTTGTTTTTTTTTTGTTTTCAAGTCATGCAATGATGATTAAACACGTTCTGTTTAAAAAGATGTTTTTGTGTATGGAAAAATAAATTTAATAAGGTGCAATAATAAGTACAAAACATTCTTCAATGTCTACAAGGGAAAGTATTTATGCAATGTTTAAGTAGCTCCCTGGGAGGTGTCTTTACGCAATTGATTCTTAGGTTACAGTAGGTTTTGCTTGAACTCAGTAACTTGCCCAAGACTTTTCCACCCAGGCACCCAGCCACTATTTGTTTTTTAAATTAATGTGTACTTACGAAGCTGTATGATAGGAATTCGTCTGTTTATCTGATTCTTGCTTTCTGATCCAGAGTAACGTCTTCCGTGAAGCACAGACAATGGTTTTGGTGGACCATCCTAACGTTCTTAAATCCCACTGCTCCTTTGTCAGTGATCATAATTTGTGGGTTGTCATGCCTTTCATGGCTGGGGGTTCTTGTCTTCATATTTTGAAGGCTGTATATCCCGATGGTTTTGAAGAGGTTGTCATTGCAACAATATTGCGTGAAATATTAAAGGGTTTAGAGTATCTGCATCACCATGGACACATTCACAGAGATGTGAAAGTGAGTTTTCTGTACATATTGTATACCTTTTCATGCCTGTATGACTGTATATACCAATTTCTTCTCGTGTTTGGTTCATTCTTTGGATTATGTGTGAGCATTGCATATTGTTTCTTCGGGTAACTTGTTTAACATGAAAGGTAGAATTTTCATTAACATGTTTAATTCGAGACTAATCAATGTAATATTATGCTGTCTTCTAGTTCTGTTTTTTTGGTATTATTGGATGGCTTTAATGTGCTCTTTGTTTCACCTTGGTGAGCGAACATGATACACTTATTTATTATGAACCAAGGATCAAGTTATTTATTTTTCCAAAGGAATTCAATATTTCATCATTTCTCTTTTTAAATTCTCAGGCTGGAAACATTCTTATTGATGCGCGAGGTGGAATTAAACTAGGAGATTTTGGAGTCTCTGCTTGTCTGTTTGATTCAGGTGACAGAACACGCATGAGAAACACTTTTGTTGGTACACCTTGTTGGTAAGCTTTATATTGATGTAATCTTTTGGTCTTTTAATATCTTTGTTTTGTTGCACCACAAGAGGTTTAGAAGCATGTTGATCGAGCTATTCCTTACTAATACTACGCACTACTTTAGTAGTTTGATTTAACCACTTTTCATTCCGACAGGATATTATTTGACATGAAGTTATTTCTTTGTTTACAATTATCTATCAATTAATTTATTTTTCAGGATGGCACCGGAAGTTATGGAACAGTTAAATGGATATGATTTCAAGTAAGTGCAGTTATCTTTTCCATTCCTTTGTAATCTTAGTATTCATACACATTTCCTAGTCTGTTTTGTTCTGGCACATTTCAGAGCAGATATTTGGTCTTTTGGCATAACTGCATTGGAGCTTGCCCATGGCCATGCACCATTTTCAAAGTATCCTCCAATGAAGGTGAAAGTCATAGCATGATTGGATTTCCTTCCCTCCTTTTTCTGCACCCTGGAACCATTACAATGTCATAATATTTGTTACATTACTTAATTATCAGGTTCTGTTGATGACATTGCAAAATGCACCTCCTGGCCTTGATTACGAAAGAGACAAGAAGTTCTCCAAGGTATGTTGTCAAGAAATATCTTTTGAGAATTGTGAGTACTGAACCTGACTTGTTTTACTTCTTCTTATCTTAGTCGTTTAAGCAAATGATTGGTAGCTGCTTGGTAAAAGAGCCTTCAAAAAGACCTTCAGCCAAGAGGTTGTTGAAGCATTCTTTCTTTAAACAAGCTCGGTCCAATGATTATATCGTACGGACATTATTGGAGGGTTTGCCAGCTCTTGGTGATCGTATTAGGGAGTTGAAGGTTACCCCTGATTCTTAAATCTTTCCCCCTCACGCGTATTCAGAGATGCTCTATTGATATGGCTGCCTCTGTTTTGTACTCTATACTAATGATAGGTACTTTCAAATAATGCAGAAAAAAGAAGAACAAATGTTGGCGAAAAAGGAAATACCAGATGGTCAAAAGGAAGAAATATCACAGGTTTTCTTTTTATGTTTTCATAGCTGCACTAATGTCCAAATGAACGATAATACTCCGATTCTTTAAACTCTTCAGTCTAAAGATTGCCAACTTAGCATTTCATAGCATTGTAATGTTATTTTTTATTAATTCAGTTTTTATTCTCTGTTTTTATTTATTACGGAGTAATATTTATATTTAGGTGCTCCCCGGGGTCCCTTATTCGTAGTGGGGCATATTGAGCTTGTTTGGTTTTATTTTTTTGTTTGTTTGTTTATTTTAGTTTTTCTGTATTTTTTATTAGTTGCTTTATTATTTCTAGCAAGATTTGTTTATAGTCAAATTTTCAAGTTTAACTTATCCAGTATTGTCTAACCTTGATGTCATTTAGCACTGACATGTTGTAATGTATGTCAGATTGACTATTATTATTACTTAAGTATATCAGAAGAGTGTGGTAAGACAATATTCTCCATAATCAAGAGGATTTTGGGGTTTATTTATCGTATGATAAAAGTACCTTGAGACGATTACCCTTTGATGTGTTGTTGGCACTTGGCAGTCTGCAGAAAGGGTGTTTACTTTTTAAAGTTTTATTGTGTAGTTAGGTAAATTTTGGTTAGGTGCGTCAAATAGAATTTCGTATTAGTATTTTTATGATATTCATATATACAATAACTTTAGTTTGAGATGTCATATAACCCTTTGCTGCTCACTGCTCAGGTGCTGTTATATGAAGAAACATTAAAATTCTGTGGCTATATGGTTTCCAAAGCATATTAAATCTAATAATTTTGTTTGGATTAGTGATTTGAATTATAAGTTGCCGATTCGAATATGAATAAATAGAATACGAGTAAGAATACAATTATACAAGGGAAAAATGGACAACAATAATCCCACTTTGGACCGGTGTTCTCATAATAATCCTACTTTTATGTAATCCCAAAATAACGTCCCTTTTTGTAACTCATCTTCTC